CAGTTGATTTCTAGTTTCAAAGCATTATGATCATAGGATATGGTTGGTATGATTTCAACCCTCTTATATTTGTTGAGGCTATTTCTGTGTCCCAGTATGTGGCTGATTCTTGAGAATGTTTCATATGCACTAGAGAAGAATGTATAAGCAGCTGCTTTGGGATGGAAGGCTCTGTATACGTTAATTATGTCCAGTTGGTCTAATGTGTCATTTAAGGATGTTATTTCTTTATTGATTTTCTGTTTGGATGATCTGTGTATATCTGACAGTGGAGTATTTAGGTCCCCTACTACGATAATGTTTTGGTCTGCTTCTCCCTTTAGTTCTGTTAGTAATTGCTTTACATATTTCTGGGCTCCCTGATTGGGAGCATAGATATTAATAAGTGTTATGTCTTCTTGGTGCATGATTCCCTTTATCATTATGAAGTATCCCTCAGTATCTTTCTTTACTTTTTTCATTTTAAAGTCTGTTTTGTCTGATATTAGTACTGCTAGTCCCGCTTTTTCTCTGAATGCCATTTGCTTGAAAATTCAACTTCTACCCTTTCACTTTGAGTCTATGTTTGTCTTTGGAGCTGAGATTTGTCTCCTGGAGGCAGCATATGATTGGGTTTTGTGTTTTGATCCATTCTGCAACTCAGCCTTTTTGGTGAGTTCAGTCCATTTACATTAGGATGATTATTGAAATATGAAGTCTTATAGCCATTTTATCTTTTACTTTCTGGTAGCTCGGTATTTCCATTGCTTCCTTGTCCTTGTGTTTCTGTTTTCTTTATTTTGGTTGGCTTTTGTGGGTTTTGCCTCTGGTTCTTCTTGTTTCATGTTATATTTTTGGTTCTGAATCTTGGGTGTGTGGTTACCATTACAAATATGAAAAGGATAGTTATATATATACAGTCTATTTTCTTCTGCACGTGCCTTATCTCCATTCCCTTTTGCGAATTTGGATCTTTGAATTCTCTCCTTTTCAGTCATTGTTGTCTCAATTTGTCCCTATGTATGCTGAACGTTCATTACTATCTTGTTATAACAATTCACTTCTTATTATTTAAACTATAATGCTCTGCTCTTACTAAGGGTTGCACTCCTCTGCTTCTATTTATCTGATAGTCACTTTACTCCTAATTATGTATTTTTGTTGTTATTTTGTTTTAGGTGAGCTGACCGCTTTCAGTATTTCCTATAGTGCAAGCCTCGTAGTGAATTTCCTCATTTTTTGTATGTCTGGAAAGGTCTTGATTTCTCCTTTATATCTAAAAGAGGGCTTAGCTGGATACATTATTCTAGGCTGGTAGTTTCTTTCACTTAATAGTTTAATTATTTGGTTCCTTTCCTTTCTGGCTTGTAAGGTCTGTGCTGAGAAGTCTGATGATAATCTAATGGGTTTCCCTTTATACGTTACCATTTTCTTCTTCCTGGCTGCCTTAAGAATTCTAGCTTTGTTGTTGATTTTTGATAACTTTAATACAGTGCGTCTTGGTGAAGGCCTTTTTGGGTTGATATAATTGGGTGTTCTGTTGACTTCTTGAATTCCAAGCTCCAGCTCATTCTTTAACTTTGGGAAATTCTCGTCTGCTATTTGTCTGAAATTGCATTGTAGTCTCTGCTCCTTTTCCTCACCTTTGGTAATGCCCATTATTCTTATATTTCCTCTCTGGATGGTATCAGCTAGTTCTTGTATTTCTATTTCATTATTTTTCATTCTTTGGTTTCTCTCTTCTTCCTTCTGATTTATTTCTAGATTTCTGTCTTCGATATCACTGATCTTTTCCTCCATTTGGTCGACTCTATTTCCCAGGCTTGCTATTTCATTTTTCAACACTTGCAGTGTGTTCTTCATCTCCAGAATATCTATTTTGTTCTTCTTGAGGGTTTCATACTCCTTGCTCTGCTCGTCTAGTTGTTTCTTCAATTCCTGAAATTGTTGCTATGATTCATTTTGGATCTCACTGAATTTTTTTAGAAGTACCATCCTGAATTCTCTGTCATTGAAGTCACATATTTCTTCTGTCTGTAAGCTTATTTTCTGGAGATTTTTTCTCCTTCTTTCTGAGATGCCTTGTCATCTTGGTTGTTCATGGTGTTTAATGGACTACTTCTCTGGGCATTAATGGAAGTTTATTCTGTTGTTTTTCCAGATAGAAGATTTATTAAATAAAGGTCTCACTTTAGCTTGCTGCAAAGAAGGCGCTCTTCTTTTGGTTTCCAGTAGGTGGCGTCTAAGCCCCTTGGATCCCTAGCAGTTTCGGTAGTGTTTACTCAGACTTCCCGGGGGCTCCGCAGTGATGGGTCTTGGAGGGTATACGGGGAGGGGCCCTCTGGGTTTGGGGTTGGAGGCTGCGGCTCATCCTCGGTTTTGTAACCTCTGCCAGCAAAAATCAACTGTTGTTCCTCTGTGGTCTCGCCCCACTTCTCTGCTTTCTGCCCTGAATACTGGGCCCTCTGGTTGGCTGCGTACAAGACCCCGCACTTCCAGGCAGAGTTGTTCAGGGAAGTCGCTGTGCCTTCACCCCTCCCGCTCCTCCTACAGGGAGCTCCAGCAGCTGCGAGAGGGAGCTTCTTTATTACTCCCAGTCCACCACCCAACACCTGGGTTCTGACCTATGGTAGCTCTTATGCACAGATCCCTCACTCAGACGTGCTGGTGTGTAGTTCGGGTGTTTTTTGTTGAGTTTTAGATGTTCAGCTTATTGTTCTTTCAAGGGAGTGATCTAGGGACGTCTCTCACTCCGCCATGTTTCTGCCAAATCCTCTCAAACTTTTTTATTGCCTTTTAAAATCTTTGCAGATCATTGCCTGTCAGGGGGCATGATGACTTTAAATTGTTCTTTGCTATGTGAACAGTATGAAATGACACAGACCCAGACTAATCAATTTCTTTTATTTGTCATCTCCTGCACATTTTATTTCTTTCCTATTTTTAAGAGCATGTTCTATTGTTTCCTCTCCTAGATCCTTAATTAGCTCCCTTATACTCTTCTGTTTCCTGGGCTTTTTACCCCAATTTTTCTTTCCTGACTAAAAATGAAATTTTAATTTTTTGAAATACAATCATCTAAAAAGTGATTATTGGAATATATCTCATTTTGTCAGTTTATTATTTCTGAGATATAGTCCATTAGCAGCAGAGACTAGCTAAATGAGTGTAATGTAAAAGAGATTAAAAAAAAAACATGGAAATCCTTGTTTAGCTTCATTTGTGTTCGTTAGAACTTTGTCCATGCCATCAGCACTGCAGATGAAGTTTTTTATAGCTGTTTTATCTCTGTGACAGAGTGCATCCTTCCTCTAGCTGTTGCCACGAAGTTGTATTATATATTTCAACTTTGTGAAAGTGTGAGATTAATGATTTTTTATCGGGATCAATATAGAATATGTATATATGAAAATTTTTCAATATAAATTAAGTAATTGGGAATGGATAAAAATAATGTGTTTCTTGATTTAGGGAGACAATATATATTATATTTGATAATATACTCTCATATTGTTAACATTATATGTTGATTTGTATTTCTTGATCCTCAGTGAAAAAAAATTGTGAAAACTTGACATTTGTGTGATTATAGATGATTTGCTTCTAAATCACATACTTTTACTATACTAAGGAAAGCATTTATTTTATTTTTAAATTTTCTTCAGTGAACCTTGGCGTGTATATAAAGAACATGTTTATTTTTTAAAATTAGTGAAAATTTCTCATTAGAATTTTTCATTAGAATTTGCTGTGACATATGTCCTAAGTTAGTTGATTACTTTAGAAATTATAATAAAGGGGCAATGTTGGCAATCTAAAATTCAATCCAAAAAGGAGTGTACTAACATGACCAGTTTTGAAAGAAAATTCCTATACCGTTTGTACAGTTAAAAGGTGAAAATATTCATCTATCTTTATATCATTTTATATAATGTGGGAATGTGCGAAGAATTGTTTTGTGATGCTACTAAAACTCTTATAGTTTTTATTATCAGTTTGGGCAAAATTCTAGAAAATTGAATATTTGGATTATTTCTATTTAGGTTTAATATCTTTACACAAATGTAAAAATATATTTACATGCATATTTTTAGGTAGAAGAAATGATCATTGGTATAAACTATATTTAGGTTCTCTTTGAATGAAGTGTGCCTAGTGGGATATAGTAACTATGTAGTGTTTATGTTCCTTTTAACCAATTTCGTTGTTTGTTATATCTGTGTACATATTTTTTTCCTCAAGTCTGTGTTTATATAAACAAATATGGAAATGTTGGCCCTTACCTGGATCAGAAGAAAATCGAGCAGCTGCCTGACCACTATGGCCCGGGCCCCGTGAATGTGGTACTCCGGCGGACTGTGCAGGCCTGTGTGGATTGTGCCATTGACAGTAAGACCGTTTTTGGATTCCTTAAGCCAGATGATCGTGGAGGAGAAGTGATAACTGGTATGTTCATCTAATCCTTTATTCAGCTTTCTTTTCCAAATTTGATTTTAGGTTCAGAGAAGGCAGGCGTTTTATGATGTATAGATTCTTTTATAATATTTCTAGTCTATTAGCCATTTATAATATTGGAATTTTTATTATATTGATAGAATATTTATAATAATTTTATGTTTATAGAATTTTAACCCATCTTGGAAAGTTTAACTTTACTTTCAAAATAAATGATGTTAGAGTAATACTGTAAATTGAGGTAAAGAGTACAGATTTTTTTCCCTTTTATATGCTGTATTAAGCTCACTATAGACACAGTACATTGGTTGATAATATATTTTAATTTTTTTAGAAAACAGACTGATAGATAAGCTCTAAATAAAAATTTTACTCAAGAAGTGATTAAGAGATAATTAACAGCTTTCATGATTTTGTGATCAGATACTACAACATTTGTACCCATGTAATGTTTGGAATAGTAGAAAATGTTATAGACTAGTGGGTTTCTATTGTTTATTTTATGAATGTTTTTAAATGATAATGCTTTTACAAATACAGGCTATTATGTTCTCTGTATCTGAGTTTGTTTCTGTTTTGTTTATTTTGTTCTTTATATTCTACATGTAAATGAAATCATATGGCATTTGTCTTTCTCTGGCTGACTTACTAAGCTATTGTGTTTTAATGAGGGGAACTTTTTAAATTTAGGATTATCCTTTATAAATAACAAAAAACAAGTTAGAGTTATATTACATTTCCTAAATTGATGGCTTTTTTGTTGATATTGTAGTTCTCATCTTTCTATGATATAACTCTGACATCTTTTTTCTCCCAATAGCCTTCTTTGATGGGGAAACTCATTCTGTCCACCTCCCTCCAGTGAACAGTGCATCATTTGCCCTTCGCTTTCTTGAGACCTTTTGCCACACCCTGAATTGTGATAACCTTTTGAGTAGCCAGCCTTTTAGCGCTTTCAGAGGTAATACTCATAGTACTGCAGAGCATGATCAAAGTCAGTCAGGTAAGAGAAAATATAAAATTTTATACTATGCTTCTATTTTATATTACATTTCATATTAAGTTGAGAATCCTGTGTAATTCAGTTTTTCCTTCAAAGTAAACATTTTAGCCACAATGGTAATTAGACATATATATGTATGTATATAATATACAGTTGTTTTTGTTCATTCAAAGTGGGAAAGTAATTTCTTGTATTCATAATGAACTTTAGAATCAAAACCTGAAAGATTTCATTGGGATTTGATTTTCATGTTTAGCATCTTTTCATGTGCTTATTGGCTACTTGTGTCTTTGGAGAACTATCTAGTCAAACCCTTTGCCCATTTTTAATTGGGTTCTTTGTCTTTTTATTATATATAAATTGAGTTTTAGGAGTTCTATATCTCATACAGTTTGCATATATTTTCTCGCATTCTGTAGGTTGTCTTTTCACTTTCTTGATGGTGTCCTTTGAAGCACAAAAGTGTTTAATTATGATGAAGTCTGATTTATCTATTTTTTCTTTTGTTTCTTGTACTTTTGTTGCCATATCTAAGGAAATATTGCTTTAATATAAGTTCACTAAGATTTGCTCCTATGTTTTCTCCTAAGAATTTTATAGTTTTAGCTATTATGTTTAGGCCATTGATCTAATTGGAATTAATTTTTGTTTTTGTTTTGACACAACGTTTACTTTATACAGTTAGTTGAAAGTACTTTTACTTGTATGTGACTTTATAAATTATCAGTACAGTCCCCTTATCCATGGTTTCATTTACCCATGGTCAGCTGTGGTCCAGAAACATTAAATAGGAAATTCCAGAAATCAACAATTCATGAGTTTTAAATTGTATACCATTTTCAGTAGTGTAATGAAATCTCACTTTATCCTGCTTGGGATGTGAATCATCTCTTTGTCCAGCATGATCACACTGTATATCCTACCTGCCCATTACTCACTTAGTAGCCATCTCAGTTATCAGGTTGACTGACATGGTATCATAGTGCTTGTGTCCAAGGAACCCTTATAGTAGCCTAACACTACGTCATAATTCCTACGTCATTCATCTCACTTCATCTCATCACATAGGCATTGTACCATCTCATTTCATCACAAGAAGAGGAGGTAAGTACAGTACAGTAAGATATTTTGAGAGAGACCGTATTCACACAACTTTTATTAGTCTATTGTTATAATTGTTCTAGTAACTTTTTAGTTATTATTGTTAATATCTTACTATGCCTAATTTACAAATTAAAGTTTATCACAGGTATGTATGTATGTATAGGGAAATCATAGTATGTATAGGCTTTGGTACTATCTATGGTTTCAGGCATCTACTGGGAGTCTTGGAACGTATCTCTCACAGATAAGGGAAGATTGCTGTACTGTCTAGTGTTCTTTCATTACAACTTGAAGGTCTCCCTTTAGTGTGGGAAATTTCCTATTTTCTTTTTTTTTAAAGCTTAGTTTTGCTAGATATAGAATTCTTGATTGACCATCTTTTTGTTTCAGTGATTTGAATGTGTTGTCCCACTTCCTTTTAGCCTCTGTAGTTTGTAGTCAGTTGCTAATCTTATTGAAGATCCCTTTGAGTTTGTCTTATTTGGGGAATGTTGAGCTTTTTGGATATGCGTATTAATGCTTTTTATCAAATTTGAGAAGCTGCTAGCCATTATTTCTTCAAATAATCTATCTGCCCCTTTTCTCTCATTCTGAGACTCACTCATTGTGTATATTTTGGTATTCTTGATGGTGTCCCACCAGTCTCTGACATCTGTTATTTTTTCTCATTCTTTTTTCTTTCTGTTCTTCAAACTATGTAATCTCAATTGACCTTTCTTTAAATTTGCCGATTCTTTCTTCTGCTAGTTCACATTTGATCTTGGGACCCTCTAATGAATTTTTCATTTCACTTATACTTTTTAACTCCTGAATTTCTTTTTGTTTCTTTTTTATTGCTTTATTGATAGTTTCTATTTGGTAAAACCTTGTTCTCACACTTTCCTTTAGTTCATTAGACATGATTTTTTTTTTAGTTGTTTGAACTTATATAAAATAGCTTATTTAAAGTCTGTCTTGTGCTCGCTTCGGCAGCACATATACTAAAGTCTATCTAGTAAGTCTAGTGTTTGGGCTTCTTCAAAGTCAGTTTCTATTGACTATTTTTTACCCCTGTGTATAGGCCCCATATTGCTGTATCTTTGCATGTATTCCAATTTTTTAAATTGAAAACTTAGCTTTTTAAAATGATATAATGCAGCAACTCTAATAATCAGATTCCTTCCTCATCCCTAGGGTTTGTTTAGTTGCTGCTGATGCTGTTTGCTTGTTTAATGACTTTTCTGGACTAATTTAATGACTTTTCTTAGGCTGATTTTGTCATGTGTGGCCACTGAAGTCTTCTCAGTTAGCTTAATGATCAGCTAATGATTGAACAGAGATTTACTTAAATGTCTGGAACTGGTATGTCTCCCAGCCCTTGCCAAGGGATTCTGTGTGTGTTGGGACTTAACCTTAAACACTCCAGGAGGCAGTTTTATAAGTCTCTGTGTAGAGCCTCAAGGTCAACAAGAAATGAAAGATTAAGGCCTTCTCTGGACTTCCTGAGCATGCATAAGGCCTTCTAGATTCCCAGGAATATCTCACTGCTTTTAAGAGTCCTTGAATGGACATCTCAATCCCCAGTTTTCCCTTTTAAGCTTTTTGGTCCACTTCTTGTCAGCCCTAACTGGTAATACTGCCTTTGTCAGCTTTGATGTTAAATAATTGCCACTGAGTATTTGTTTCTTTGTTTTGTTTTTTTGACCAATGCCTTGGAGATAGGGCTGTTCAGATAGAGCAGGCTTTGATTCAGGTCAAAGAAAACAAGTCCTCAGAGTAGAGCTTTTCAGTTATCTGCAAGATTGGTCAAATAATGATAGTTCTATGTGGATGGGGGTTTTGAAGAGCTCTAAATACATTGCGCCCCCTCCAGTGACTAACAGGCTACTGGTTTTCATAGCTACTATAGTTGTGAAGGTGTTGGTTTGCAAGGCTGCCGCAAAACTGGGATGAAAAAGATGGTTAATACCACAGCTAAAAAGCTAAAATGCCACAGAATTTGCTGTTCTTTCTCACATTCAGTCGTTTTTCTTGACTAAGTGCATTTTGGATTGTTGTGAACCTTTATAATGTATAGAGTTTTGAAGAAGTTATTTTTGCCAGTGTTTTCATTATTTTTATGAAGGAGCAGGTTTTCAGAAGTCCTTAATCAGTCATTCTAGGAGTACCTCTCTATGATGACTTTAAATTATTTGACTTTTTCTGGTTATCTGTGCATGAATAGTTTCATGCCTAAGCTTAGTATAATACCCAGAAGCAGAAATCAAGAGTCAATTTTATGTTTGTATTAGCCCCAGATAGTAGACCATACACCAGCCTCATAAACTTTTCATACAGAAAGCATTAGAATAGTACAAGTAAAAGATAATTACTTTTTCTGATCTTACTAAGATTCTGAGGTAAATATCTATAGAAAACTATACTTTAGTATTTCAGTTTTCTAAATCATTAAATGAGTATGAAAAAAGTCAATTATTTCTTTTCTTAGAATTTAAATATTCTAATTGTAGAAATATTTGTCATTCACTGAACTATGTTTTGCCTGTTGGTTTTATAATCCATTTTTAAAAATAAAATCAAGTGGTAAGAGCTCTCTTAGGCCTGTTAGTTATCAGCTAGTAACTGGATGGCTAAAGGTTGCTCATCAGATGATTTTGAGGGGCATGCCTGGCTCCCAGCCATTTTGAACCAGATGAAGTTTAACTTTGGTACTTTTTTAAAATTTATTTTTATTATGGTAACATTGGTTAACAAAATCCAGTAAGTTTCAGGTATATGATTCAATAATAAGGCAGATATATATTGTATTGTATATTCACCGCCCATAGTTAAATTTCTTTGTATCACCACATATTTGACCCCTTTTACCACATCTACCTCTTCCCTCCCCCTCCTCCCTCTGGTAACCACTAGTCTTGTCTATATCCTTGAGTCTCTGTTTGTGCTGTTTCTTTGATGCTTTTAGGTTTATATCGCACATATAAGTGATATCATGTGGTTTTCAACTTTTTCTGTCTGGCTTATTTCACTTAGCATGATTATCTCAAGGTCCATCCATGGTGTTACAAATGGCAGGATTTCATCTCTTCTTATAGCTGAGTGATATTCCATTGTATATACGTACCACAGCTTCTTTAGCCAATCATCGATCGTTGGTTACTTCAGTTGCTTCCATGTCCTGGCCACTGTGAATAATGCTGCTATGAATATCGGTGCGCAATTATCTTTTTGGATATGAGTTTTCAAGTCTTTGGGGTAGATACCGAGAAGAGGGATTGTTAGGTCATATAGAAATTCTATTTTTAGTTTTTTGAGGAACCTCCATACTGTTTTCCATAGTGGCTGTACCAATTTGCAGTCCCACCAGCAGTGTATTTGAGGGTTCCTTTTAGTCTGCATCCTCTCCAACATTTGTTATTACTTGTCCTATTGATAGTAGCTATTCTAACAAGTGTAAGATGGTATCTTATCATGGTTTTGATTTGCATTTTTCTAATAGCTAGCGATGTTGAGCATCTTTTCATATATTTGTTGGCCATTTGTATGTCCTCTAGGAAGAAGTGTCTGTTCAGGTCCTCTCCCCAGTTTTTGATTGGGTCATTTGCTTTTTTGTTGTTATTGAGTGGTATGAGTTCTTTGTACATTTTGGCTCTTATTGGAAGCATTGCTTACAAATTTATTTTCCCATTAGGATTGTTGTCT